TTTCCAAACAGTAATGATTACTAGCATTTTGAAAATTATCTTTGTGGGATGGGCAAGTATTTTGTAGTATAGTTGAGATCTTATTGTTCACCTAAATGTCTATAATATATCTTAATTATGTTTAGAATCTTCCGTAATAGTGTTGTTAGATCTCTTTTGTCACATGTATAATATTATGAGTCCTAATTGTGAAATTTATATTGCCACCCTCTGTAAAGTTAAAGTTACGTTGTGAAGGCGAGTTGAGAAAGTTGTCCATGTTCTTGCATTTATCATTAGACTCGGTATATTTCTGTGTAGCAATGCAGGATAGAAATTTTATAGAAGTTACCTATATTCACCAACTAATTGAATGAATGCTAAGAAAATTTATCAGTGAGCCCGTTAAACAGATGCATTTTCCGTATTCTGCAGGGAATTATCTTGAAAGAGAATGGAAATATAGGCGATTCCGAGAGAATGTTTATACAGGTGAGACAATTATGGCCCGTGTTGCTGCTCGTTTCATGCATATAATCATGGTCGTTTATTGCAATACATAAAAAGCTTTAAATCTGTTAATTAGGAATTACACTTGCCCTTTTCATGATTCTTCTTTATCTCAAATCTGAAACTCTAACTGGTCATGAATATCAACAGGCACGGTTCTTTGCACCTGATAAAGCAAAAGCACTGGTAGACAAGTACTCACGATGATGCTGCTCTTAATGGTTGATAAAGGTGTTGCCGATTTTTTGGATATTTTTTCAAGCAACGCAGGTTCAAGCAATTGTCAATGGATATTTTGCATCTTTTACAGCTCATATTGTAAAATAAAACGAAAAATGACCGTTTAATTCGACTAGCATGGTTGCACCTCTGTTGTAATTGTATTAACTCAAAGTCGAAAAGTAAAGCTACCCATTTCGAGTCTTGATCATCTGTTCCGATTTTTTTTTTTTTTTTTTTTTTTAATATTCTGGTGAATATTTTAAGGACAAGATGAGGGTTTCACTTTGTTTCAAGGGATCTTCTGTTATATATAATGTGTGTGGCCTAGAAATAGCACCTGTTACATTTAGCATCCTGACCTTTTGATTGTGGATTAAAAATTAAAATAGAACACAAACAATTATTTAAAACTTAAAACCAGAAATAACAGAAAAAATCAGATTAAAAAGTTTTCCTTTTTCCCACTTGAGTAGGGAAGAGGCAAGGGTGAAGGTACCCATCCTCTCTCCTCCTATGGGAAAACAAATTTTTGAGCCAAATCTCGTCGCGTGTTCTGCAAAATTCAGCAAGACACGATTGTATCACGGATGTTCGCATTTCGAAATTGCCTGATGTTTTCTTTAACAACCATCAGATATCGATTATTTTTTGGCATGAAGATGATTATGGACTCTGAAAGGTTCAAGAAGATGGTTCGTTGCGATGAAAGTTTCGAAAAAAACTGTTGAGTACATGGAGAAGCATTTGCTAATAACTCCCCGATCAATTAATCTCGGCTGATTGTGAGAATGAAAACAAGAACCGGCAGGGCTTTTTTCTGCAGTTCTTCACCATTTTGGAGAAGTATTTGATAATCACTCCCGATCAGTTGATCCGGATGATTGTGAGAATGAAAACAAAAACCAGCAGGGCTTTTTTCTGCAATTCTTTGGTATTTTTTTCTTCTTTCTGTGAATGTGCTTCTTGTAAGTTTTAACATCTTGATGAGAGTTACTGAATGCGTCGGGCGAATAAAACCTTAGCACCATGAAAACAGAACGACATCGATATCCAAAATCGTGCATCGACTTACACTTACTTGTTCGCTGAACAAACCTCAATGCTGCCAGAAAACGAAAAAAACGAAAAAAACAGAACATAAAACCACCTTTTCTCTTCTGAAAATTTATACTGTCTCAGTTGCAAGACAGCCAACACATTACATTATAACTCATCCTCTCCAATATCATTACATTGACTCGATACGAATCAATCTCAACAAAAATACAAATCAATTTTTCGTCGTGCGAAAAAAAAAAAAAATAA